GAGTAACTTTAAAAGATACCACCAGAGCATAGGTTGGCGATGTTTACCTCCAGGTTCATCATTTTTCGTAAAAGAATATAAAAACCACAATATTTGCATAAAACGATGACTAATTTATTATAAAGAAATTTCGGTGCTACAGATCTGTTTCGGTTACTTATGTAACCGTCTTCAGGCACGACTAGAAATTAAGGAAAATTGTTATACAAATTTACTTAAAAATTAAAGTTGTTATTTAGCGTCTTATTTAGCACTTCATTGCAAAGGGATTAACAATCATCGTATATATTACATCATGGTGGAGAAGCATCTTAGTGAAATTTGTGGAGTGAAAACCGTGAAAAACTATTAAAATTCTTTGGGGGAAACAGTAACAACTAGAAACAAAATCAAAAAGTTAAAAAACCGTTAAACTGACTTAACAAAAAACGTTGAAACAAAATGGCGTCACTTACATTGTGTACGTTTTATGCAAAAAAAAACCTTCTTATTTACGCGAATATACTCATATGAGAAATGAATCGCTATTAACTGTAATGTAAAAGTGAAAGTTATTGAGTGGATTTAATTTTGTAATAATCTTACCATAAAATTAATTCTAAAGTGAAAAACAAATGTAATGAGCTGCGTACTCCAAGAAAACTTGGTGCAGACTGCATTTACAATGAAACGGATTGCGCATGACGATTCAGGTCGACAGGTGGGCGGGAATTTTCAAAAAATTTCAAAAAATATCTGTGATCATTGAACTCGATGTTGTCATTGATTAATAACTCTTTATCATTATCGCGAATATGGAACTCCTCTAATAAGTCCATCTTTTTAGATTTAAGAAGAGGCCCTACCAAATCTATATTATCAATAATTGAACTGTGTTGGTTTTCCTGTAAATGTTTATTGAATGGTTTATGCAGAGCATAGGTTGTTTAGGTGAGATATAAAGATACTATGTACAGATACTATATAATACTATGAATCGTGGAAATAAAGTGGAAATTGAAAATGT